AAGATTAGTGTGTGTGTGTGTGTGTGTGTGTGTGTGTGTGTGTGTGTGTGTGTGTGTGTGTGTGTGTGAGTGTGTGACTCACTCTTACGTTCGTATGTTCCGCTGGTGCTGTGAAGCATAATTTTGTTTTTCCTGTTAAAAATGGAAGTTCCTCTTTTTTACAGTAAGCATGTTTGTTTGAGTAAAGAGAAGCACATCAAAACAATTAATGTCATTTAATGCATGGATAAGGCAAGACAAACAGACAGAAGCAACACAGAGAGGGAGAAAAGAAGTAGGACCTACCAGTGGCACCCTCCAACCACCCTCAAAAAAAAGTAACAGAAATTAGCTGTAAGAAAGAGCAGACCATGCCCAGGAGCCTGCCAACAGGACCTTGAAATTGAGAGAGGAATGACAGAAGGACAGACATACCGCAGTTTTGTCGTTCGTCCATCCTGTCTGGACAGTCCATCTTGAGATCACAGACTTGGACAAACGAGATACACGTCCAGTACCCCCGGCACTCAAATTGTTGTGCTCCGCAGACCTGGGACGTTTCTACGGAAATAAAATAAATGTCACGACACAGTGGAATCAGGCGCTCGTCAATTTTTTGACATTTTGAGGAATTGGTTTAACATTAAAAAGTTCATTTGTATTGCTTTTGATGGAAAATTACCCATCTCTTTTGAACAAAAGTCGAGATATTTGCAATTGAAGGAGATGGGAGTCGTCTGGTGTCAGAGGTTAGATTCAGTGGAAAATGGCCACCATAGTTTGGTGAATTCCAAAGCTTTAGTGTTCTTGAAAACTGCAAATTTACTTTTTGTGTCATTGATGAATGTTTTTCAGTAAAATCCACATTGCAATGTGTTCCTAAATTGACATAATAGGTGTTGCGCAATTTTAACTCATTACGGACTAAGCGGACATGTATGTCCGACAGCAGAAGATCGAAAGCAAAGTTGCGGGTTACTTCAAACCATCATACAGACTAGAAACAAAAATTTACATATACTATAGTATACATTATTGTTATCTGTCTTTTTAAGTACCAGATAAAGGAAACAGAATTGAAAACTACAAATGAAAAACAAAGTTATGCTTCTTAAGTTTTCTGGAACATCATGTCTTTAAGCGTTCGAATGAACAGAACGTGCATCCGCAATGAGTTAAAAAATCGATAAAACTTGACCCACAAGAGGAAGACTGTCAATTTCTTTAATTTTATTGGAGTGATTAAAATAAAAAGGAGAAGAAAGAGCAGTAGGAGAGGGAGGAGAAGATAAGGAATGTAAAGTACAAGGGGGAACAAAAAGAAAAAATAGCAAACATACCTGGCTCATGTGGTGTAACCCCTTCTGTGGAACAATAAAAGAGAGAAAAATGGTTCAGAGGAAGCGTAGAAAATGTATTTATCAAGCAACATCAACACTGCATTTGAAAAATTTTTCACATCTTATCATGTCTCATCTTATCTTATCACACCCCATCTCTTCTTATCTGTTCTTATCTTATCTCATCTTGTCTTATCTAGTCTTACCATAATCTTATCTTGCCTTGTCTGGTCTTATCTTGCCTGATCTTATTTTGTCTGGTTTTATCTGACTTATTTTTGTCTTACTTTATCTTTTCTGTCTAACGATAAGTCAAATGAGGGACTGAAAAGGTAATCTGAAATATAATTTCCTCTAGGTGCTTCAACGTGTGAAAAATTTTGACAGTTAACACAATGACGCGTTTCAATTTAACGTACAACAATTATTTCAAATACATACACACCGTTATCTGACAAAAGAACACATGCACAAAAAGACAATCACTGCCGCTGCTGACAACACTTGTTGAAAGAAGACGCCTGTTGAAGAGCAATGGCTAACACAAGCACTTCAACTTTCAGTTTTACATTTTATGTTAATTCTTTGAATCTGGCTCGCCATCGTTTTGGGGGGGGGGTAACAATATCGTCAAGCCCAAGAACTACACCCGACTCTGTGCCACATTTACTATCCACTTTCACCTATATTGTGATCCTTTGCCCTATCATGAATAATTTGAGTGCTCACACAAATAAATCCATCAATATTTGACTGAATCATACCCAATTTAACCCTTTGAGCCCTCACCACCAGTACATCGGTAGCACATAAAACCTGTATACCTAGCCTCGGTACAGTGGTGAACGAGACCGTATGCCTAGCCACCGGTACAGTGGTGAACGAGACCGTATGCCTAGCCACCGGTAGTCGTGAACGAGACCGTATGCCTCGCCACCGGAACAGTGGTGAACGAGACCGTATGCCTAGCCACCGGCACAGTGGTGAACGAGACTCTATCCACAAACCAGCCCACCTGGGACAAAACGCACGCAGGAAACTGTGTTTACTACACAGGATGTTACTGATAATTTTGAAGATCTTTCTGAATTAGATGTTGGTAATGACGAGGACTACCATGAAAGGGATATGGAATGTGATTCTGATGATCCCATGAACGTTAGTAATATATCGCCCAGGAGCTCAAGCAGAGGGGCATGGTAGCATCAGGAGGTCACGTCTCAGTGCGTTAAGGAAGCACCCTTCGCTGCTGAATGCATAAAATTTTGGAATTCCTTGCGTACTGAATGAGTGTTTAAAAAGATGAGATATATCTTTACTGTCCAGGCACTGGCTCATTGCTTGATGTTTCATCACACATAAAATATGCTTACACTCACAATCAGATTATTGGTGTCTGTGGTTTAGTGGTTTGACGCTTCACTATCGCATGCAGGAGACCCTAGTTCAATTCCTTTTTAAGGAGAAATTTTATTTGGGTACTTCGACCTTTCTGCTGGGATGGTGTATCCCTCTCATCCCAGGTTGGCTCTACTACTAAATGATCGAAACTGTGTCAAACACCTACATTTCAAAAAAATAATTTAAAAATAAATAAATAAATAAAATAAAAACCAGAGCCAAAGTAAAACACATCTTAAACTGTTGTTTCGAGAGACTCACCACAGGAGTTCCTGTCCCCTCTATGATAGCTGTTCTTAGATCTGCACCGTCCACTTGAAAGAAAAACTGCAGAAGAGATTGGCATTACTGATCAATGATAAAACCTCACGGCTGACACCGTTTGTTTCTTCATTCATTTGTATGACTGCTTGTTTGTTTGTTCATTCATGTGTATGTTTATTTATTCATGAGTATGTTTGTATGTTTGTTTGTTTGAGTAAAAAGAAGCACTTTGACACCATAGTGGTCATTCAATGTGGAGAAAAAGTAAGATAGATTTGGTCTTCATTATCATTATTATTTGCAAATTTGGTCTTGAAAGTTCCAAACTTTTTTAAACATGGCAAGTCCGTGAAGAGCAATACTATAAAACAGAGAATACATATTTTCTGACATATTTTCTGTGAAAATAATTGTACGCTCTAAAGAAATATTCTGTTAAAATTCAAGTTCTAAATGTTAAAAAAGCACACACACACATGATCCATGTTTTCTGGAGTACTCTTGGCACTGCTTGGTTGAACAGCAGAAGTCTTTGTGGTCATTGAAGAGAACGCACATGCACATGCACACACACACACACCCCACACACCCCCACCCCAAACACACACACACACAACCAAACATGATCGATGACTTAGGGAGTACACCTTGCACGGCTTGGTTGAACAGCAGATGTCTTCGTAGTCACTGAAGTGAACGCATACGCACAAACACACACACATATACACACACACATTTAGACATACACATTCACACACACACATATACAAACACACACACACACACATACAAAACAAATACAAACACACACAAGCACACCCACAAACACACATATACAACACACATACTAATAAACACGAACACACATACACACACACACACCAACACACAAACACCCCATATGCATGGACACATACACACACTCACACACACACACACACACACACACACACACACACACACACAAACACACTCACACATACAGACACACACCTGCACACAGACATACTAGCAAAAACAAACACTCAGATACACACACACACACACACACACACACACACACACACACACACACACACACATACTTGATCCATGACGTTGGGAGTACACTTGGCACTGTTTGGTTGAACAGCAGATGTCTTTGTGGTCATTGAAATGGGAGCAGTCCACATCTGTGGGTCAAAGATTTTTTTAACATCCTTAGGTCATAGTTGACTCTTCACAATTTCACCATTGCTAGGTCAGAGTATACACTTCACAAATTTACCATTGCTAGGTCAAAGTTCCCACTTCAAAATTTTACTTTGGTTAGGTCACAGTTCACACTTCACAATTTTACTATTGTTAGGTCATAGTTCACACTTCACAATTTTACTCCTCTGTATCATTATTCAAACTTCACAATTTTACTATTGTTAGGTCAAACGTCACACTGCACAATTTTACTATGCTAGGTTGTAGTTCACACTTGCCAATTTTAATAATAATAATAATAATAATAAATAGCATTTATACTGCGCATTTCCAATTTCTAAAAGATGCTCAATGCGCATTCCAGCGAAAAAGACATCACATCTTAAAAATTAATCGACATGTGTGTACGTAAAACAAAGTATTATACATATAATATAAATGTATATATGTGTAAAATTTTATATGAGAAAAACAGTCTCGCAGTGAGGTTGAAAATGTGTTCACTAAAAATATACAATGCAATAAAAATTCACGAATGGTCACAATAAAGTTGAAACGTGAGTAACTAGAAGCATTCATTAAAACATTAATTCTATACAGATAGAAAAACATTTCCGTTCTCTCTCTCTCTCTCTCTCTCTCTCTGTCTCTCTCTCTCTCTCTCTGTCTCTCTCAGTCTCTCTCTCTCTTTATCTCTCCCTCTCTCTCTATCTCTCTCTCTCTTTTCTCTCTCTCTTTTTCTCTCTGTCTCTCTCTCTTTTTCTCTCTCATTCTCACACGCTATTTCTTCAGTCTCACAGTCTGGCATACACATGCATATGTATCACAGTACATCGTTATGACAGGTATGCTTTTGTAAATAAAAAATGCTTCAGCTGATTTTTTACAATGGAAATTGTTGGGCAGATCTTATTTTATATGGGAGTTCGTTCCATACCTGGGACCAAAGAACAAAAAGGAAAGCTCGCCGTATGTTTTGTAATTTTGTTTTTGGCGTTTTAAGAATTAGATTATCAGAGGCTGATCTAAGGGCTCTAGGTGGATGATATAATTCCAGGAATGTTTTAAGATAAAAAGGTGCACTATCATTTATACATTTAAAACAGAGAACGGCAGTTTTGTATTTGATCCTTTCTTTTATTGGCAGCCAGTGTAGTTCTTTCAGAATTAGTGTTACATGCGCTGATTTCTTTTGTTTCATTATCAATTTTGCTGCTTGATTTTGGAGTACTTGTAACTTTGATAGTTTTTCAGCTGTCAAACCGGACAAAATAGCACTACAGAAAACTAACTTTGATAAAATGAGTATTGTTACAAGTGTCTCGGCTGCTGCTTTAGTTAAATAATTTCTTTCACTGCCAATTTTCTTAAGCTGAAAATAAATACTTTTGCTGAGCTGGCTAATTTGGGAGGACATAGACATATAATCCAACTGAACCCCTAGATTTTTAAGACGTCTTTTTGAACGAATGGTATGGTTATTAATATCAATGTGTAGCTCTGGGAGATTTTTAATGGCTTTTGTATTTCCACTCAACACTATTTCCGTCTTGTCATCATTTAGTTTCAATTTATTGCTGGTCATCCATATTTTAAATCACTAGTACATTGTTCAGTAGAGTCGACTAAAAGGGGTATTTGATCTAAATCAATAGACATATAAATCTGAGTGTCATCAGCATAAAGACGGTAATTCATGCCATATCGTCTCAAAATATCAGCAATAAGTTGTGTATACATTGTAAACAAGACAGGTCCAAGAACAGACCCTTGAGGAACACCACATCTAAGCAAAACATAATTAGAACACGTGCTTCCAACCACAACTGCTTGTGTTCGATCTATAAAATATGACTCAAACCATCGCAGGACAGTACCCTTTATGCCAAAAGTAGTATTTAATCTCTCGAGTAAAATGTCATGATCAATGGTATCGAATGCAGCCGAAAGGTCCAAAAGAGTAAGAAGACATACCTTTTTTTCATCAATATATTTTAAAATATCAGTACAGACCCTAAGTAACGCTTAGGTTGCACTTTACAATCTATAATTTTACCATTGTTAGGTCAAAGTTCAAACTTCACAAATTTACTATCGTTAGGTTATCATTCACCTATACCAATATCACCATTCAACATTTAAATTCTCAATACCTTTTTACTTTTAGGTTGTTCACAGTTTTGTTAGGCTGTTCCCTGTTCTACGACACATTTATGGGAAAGAAGAAAGTTTATCGCAAATATTTCCATCTTTGGGCAGAGGCAGTCTCAGCCCGGGTTGGCCCTGACAGGCGTGGTTGTAGCAGCCCACCTCAAAATTGGTCTAAATTCTATCAATAGGGACATAAAAACAATACATAACAAAATGTATTCGCATAGCGCAAAGTCCCGTTCGACAGCAAGTTCTATGCACTTTACAATCTATAATATTACCCCACAGACCTATTAGCATTATGAAACAATCTCAACTTCCTAGGAAGCATACAGTGCAAGCTGCCATTTTTGCAGGCACCGATGCACAAACATACCAATATATGGATCAGCTGAGCTTTATGCAAGCTATTGTTCTATAATTTGTCTCACAGGAAATGCACTCCTCATTTCTTTCTTTTTCTTTCTTCTTTTCTCTCCCTTGCATTGCTCTTCTTTTCTTTAGCTATTTCTCTCTAAGTTTCTCTTCCTTTTTTTCTTTCTCTCTTCCTTTCTTTCTTTCTCTCTTTCTTTTTTTCTTTTTCGCATTCTTTCACTGCTTACGTCCAGTGTATTCGCAGCCCAGTTCGTCTGAGCCGTCACTACAGTCCACGTTCTGGTCACAGAACTGACCCATGGAGATGACCCGGCCACTGTTCTGACAGTACACATCGCCTGGGGCAGTGGTGACATCTGTGGAAGGGGGGTGTCGGAGAACACAGTAGTTGAGACAGAGAACACATTGTCTGGGGCAGTGGTGGCATCCGCGTCAAGAAGAAGAAGAGGAAAGGAGGAGGAGGAGGAGGAGGAGGAGGAGCATAAAGAAGAAGAAGAAAGGAGGAGGAGGAGGAGGAGGAGGAGGAGGAGGAGGAGGAGGGGGGAGGGAGGAGAAGGAGGAGGGGGGAGGGGGGAGGAGGAGGAGGAAGAGGAGGGAGAGGAGGAGGAGGGAGGAGGAGGAGGAGGAGGAGGAGGAGGAAGAAGAAGAAGAAGAAGAAGAAGAAGAAGAAGAAGAAGAAGAAGAAGAAGAAGAAGAAGAAGAAGAAGAAGAAGAAGAAGAAGAAGAAGAAGAAGAAGAAGAAGAAGAAGAAGAAGAAGAAGAAGAAGAAGAAGAAGAAGAAGAAGAAGAAGAAGAAGAAGAAGAAGAAGAAGAAGAAGAAAATGGGAAGACAGGAGAGTAAACATTTCAAAAATGTTAATCTATTTAGAAACTAAAAGGTGGAGAAACAGACAGGAACAATATGTCCATTTAAAAGTAATGAGCTGAAAGAAAGAGGGGGAGGGGGGGGGAATAGATCTATTCAGAAGCAAAAATTGGGAAGACGAAAAATATTTTTTAAAACTCCCAGCAGTTTTGCCTACCTTGGCTTTTTCATTTATTTTTCAAGGTATCTCCATACACTCAAGCTTAATGCAATAATCTATCTACTCCAGATAGACATATTATATATTAATGGAAAGGGAATTGGATGGTCTTTCAGACCTAGCCAATACATTCCATATTTGTCAAGCTTTCTTGAGGTGTGACATATTTCTCATGTTACTAAAAAATATATGCAGAAACAGAAATCGGACTGCCCGAACAATCACAAAGAAGAACAAAAATAATTTACAACCTAAGAGTTTACATTCATTTGATGAGAAAGTAAAAGACCCCTCATTCTGTTGACAAATACAGAAATGAAGGCTGTTCTTGTGCATTCTACAAATTCTTGGTTTTTGCCCTTGAAACTGGAAATTTCAAAGCGAGAATTTTATAATAAAACCATCAATTTTAAATAGTCATTTTATTTGATAAAAAGACCTTATGAAATCTTTCTTTATTGGAAATGTATTTTATGGGCAAAATACCACCTCACCAGCCATCATATATATTCATACGATATACCACTGCACAAACTCATGGGAGTTCAAGAATAATTTAGAATTTAAACAAATTGGAAAACAGAAACAAAAAAAATTAGATCTCATTCTCCCCCTACCCCCATCCAACCCAAATCGTTTTACTGGCTGTAACATTCACTTTCTGAAGCCCCAAGTCCCATTTAGTATTTTTGCTCTTTTTGGCTAATACATAACTCGGCTAAATAAACAATAAATTTAAAAATTACATACAGTATGACACAGATAGCTAGAATTCGTCGGGACCAGCCGCGGTAGTTCATGGGATATCTTACAAAGATAAAGAAGAAGAAAAAAGGGACCACAGGCACAGCTTGACGGATATGTGATTTCGAGTCTTCTGTGTTCGACCGGTCCATGTTATACTGTATATTGGTCCCAGAGGAGGAATTCGGGTTGCAACGGCAAACATACATACATAACTACAAAACTGAATTATAAAAATATATTCATAAATAAATACATAAACACATGATTATAAATTAACACATATATACACAATATCACACCAATACACAACAATTTCACAAACAAGCCATTGCTGGTTGTCACTGTGCAGCGCCCTGTTTTCTTTAGCTAAGATTGTCATGTCTTGCTCAAGGACACATCCCAGTGACCATCCATTCAAATCCTGTGTCACCGACACTTGCTTGACATTACTTTTGAGTCTGAACTCACCACTCACTTAGCCACTGGAGTCTGTAAGACGTGACACCAGGGTTCTTCTCTGTCTTCACCAGTCTCCCCACCGAGAAAAGGAAAATAAGAAAATCATTCTATCTAAAGATCTTTTAGGGGTTTCTTTTCAGCATTTCAAGAGACGTACTGTGTGTCTGACAGTGGGCTTCATCCTCCCCAGAGTAACAGTCTCTGTCGCCATCACAAAGCCAGGAGCGATGGATGCAGTGCCGGACAAACCCCGGGCCTTCGCGACACAGGAAGTGGTTGTTATCACAGGATACCTCTGTTGAAAATAAGAACATCGGAATGTGGCTGCCTGAAGGGCAGGGGTCCAACCAAGTAGGAAAAACGGTCACATACAAGTAAAAATCAGCTGAACTGCTAGTAGAGGACCCAGCGGTCGACTACCCCTGAGACCCAGCAGGGGGACGCAAATCCCGTCATTAAAGTTCATAAATTTTCTTCCACATCGGCAAGCCTGTCAGGACCAATACTAGAAAACCGAATGTGTATTTTCCTATACCAAAAACAGACTTACGTGCTCAGATCTTCGAAAACATTTTTTCACGTACTGGTTGGTAGCAATGCAATTGTATATTCATGGGTCGAGATAGTGTTTGTGCTAAATTAGTGAACATTTTGCCTCTATGTGACTGGGGGGAACTTGGGAGGTTACGCCAGAGTGAGCAGGCTGGGGGCAGAGAATGCGGGAAAAGGAGTGAAGATACGCCATTGAAGTGTGTGACATACCAGGACTTGGCATTGTGGGTGTGGTCGGTGAGATTACGTCTTGCGTTGGGTAGACAACGTCAGCTGAGGGTGGAAGAGGAAACAATGAAAAAAATCTTTAATAAATAATAATCGGACCAAATAATGTTACCAAAAAAAACCAACCCCAGTGCAGATCAGACAAGAAAAAAAAACATGCAGTCCTGAATAACAATGAAAATCAGCCCTGAAAAACAATGAAGATCAATCTCTAAAAAACAATCAGCCACAAAAAATTATGAAAATCAAAAAAAAAACCAATGATGATAAATGTCGAAAAAACCCATTCAGGCCTGAAAAAAACAATGAAATTCAACCCCCC